CAAGAATAGTTTATGTTTATGATCAAGATTAATGACATGAGTTACTCCTCCGGCAGCGTCGAGTCTCGTCACGACTTCAATATATTCCGTCTATTAGCCTCTGGGTCGCGGTCGAGACTGCCCTGGGGGCAAGCCGTTTCGTATCAAGCATCCTTGCAGCAATTCACGAAGGTCCCCTTGCCTGTTCCGTAATCCATGAAAAATTAAAATTCAGTATTTTACCCCAGCTTTTAAATTTTGCACATTTTTCCCGCAGTTCACGAACCAGCAGGACAGGATCAGCCGTGCAGTGGTGTATTGGTTAGTCGGATAACATATTTCATTCCCAATGGGAAGTCTGTTATCCGGAAAATCTGCTGTAAGACTGGCGCAATAGTGAAGCAATGCATTGGATGAAAGCTTTCTTGATGTTCTTGAAAATTTTGAAAATTGATTTTGTTTTTGTTCTTTCTCGTCTCGGATGAGCGAAAAGGAAAGCGTCATACTATAGATTCCTCAACAGACATTCGTCTCTATGCCTCGTAATACAGATAAATAATTTCCTCAAACGGATGAAACCATTCTAGGTCATTCGAATCAAACCAGTCTCAGACCACCTGCAACCCAAGATTATATAGGATAGTTTGTGGTAAACATTTTACAGTACAGTATAAAAATGCGTAAAGTCGCTTCCTTTTCTGGGAGACGGAAGAATTACTCCGGAAGAAAAAGTAATAATCGTGCACCGTATTCAAGAGCATTTAAAGAAGCATACGTTTGAACACATATGCTGTGGGCCACATTGGCAGCAGCAATTTCAATGTTGTTTTTTAAAGAAATATTAGAGAGAGCAAGAGTGTGGAGTTCAAAATTCTTGCTATGAAAGCGTCTGATTATGACCGGGTTACCACTGTATTTCATATCTTCGCGGGTCGTTGGTAAGAGATTAAAACTTGAAAATGAATGGAAGCATCTTGCGTATTTTCACAGGCAAAGGAATTGTGTCTGCTCCTCTTCCTGCCTGTACTGGTCATGGGGAACTTCCTCATTCTGAACTTATTTTTGGCGCTTCTGCTCAGCTCCTTCAACTCAGACGTTTTGAAGGACATGGAAGAGGTGAGAACTATTATTTTTCTCTGCACCGAAATCCCGAATCTCCCACTTAGACCGCAAGTGCCACCATTACTTCGGACAATAAAACGCATTTGTCGGGATTCAAACCACACGCTCTCGAAAATATCTACAGTCGTGAGCCGGTGAGATCTGAATCTAGAAAAATAATAGGGCGAGTAGGTCAGCAGCTTTCTACCACTTCACAATAACAAGCAGCCATCCCTTACGGACAACTGTTCCTCCATTGTCACTTCTTGAGATAAAAACTTATACGTATAAGGTATGAAGCATTGGCCACACAATTGTCTCGCGATGGGGAAAAAGTACTATTTTCTTCTATGAAATCGAGATAACAAAGACATTGAGTGTGGATATAAACTAATCCGACGATGCTTGTTCCCTCTGAATAGACAGGGAAGCTACAAAAGAAGGCGGAGAGGATTCACTATAAGGAATGAAATAAGTTAGCTCAATAAATACCCGGAATTCAGAACTCACTAACGGTACTTCATTCGATTTTACCTCCCATCTAGCTCTCTCTATAAAAAAGGAAGGGTGACTATAGCCTAGATCCCGAAGTTCGAAGTCCGGGTTCAAAGAAATGAGTAAAGATAACTAAATTTATGAAGCCTACTGTATGATAAGGTGCGGGGGTAGCTCTTTTAAAGATGAGAATAAAGCAACGCAAATTCTATTTAATACACAGAAGAAAAACGCTGTTATATTACCTTGAAATATGGAATCACGGCAAAAGCTGTTTAATTTCATTTCTGTCGATATCGATAAATTGCGCGAGTGTTGCAATGCATACGCATGCCGACTTTTATGTTGACTTTAATGTCCGACTCCCACAGGTGGGAAAACTCCGAACACTCTTTCGCCACTTTATTTCAAGCTCAAAATATATACGCTTAGAATTTGAAACTATTTCCGGCGAAAGCAAGTACGCGAGTCTCATAAGTTTTGGAAAATCCCTCAAAACTCAATGACTTACACATCTAAGAATTCGTTAGTTCGAAGCCAGGAGCTGTTTTTGGTGAGAAACTGCGATTTTTTACCCCTCATGACTTGATGTACAATTTTAGATGCAGCAATGAATGCGTATCTAGAATCGCGACTCTCTCTCTCATGAGAGCTCTGTAGAAATTATGCTGTGTCGTCAACGGCGGACAAGGTTTGCCTAATCAAGCGTACATGACCTTGATGTTCTGGAAAAAAAAGCCGAGACCCATATCGCGTGGCTGCGAGACCAAAAGCAGTGACTGGGTTCAAGAGAGAGGTGCATTGAATTTTAACCTGGAACTGTGGACGCACGCACACGCTTCGCAGTTTCACGTTAAACTTGCGCGTGATGTGCATTAGTTTGAAGCCGACTCCGTGATAAAGCAACACTGCTGGGTTTTTATTGATTACACACGGGTGTGTAGCACGGCACGTTTATGAATATTTAATTCGTGACGGGGCTCCAGAATGCACCCTTGACGTCACAATGAGAGTTGCTTCGAATTCATTTTCACCCGTCCCCCGCCTTATTTTTTTCCCCTTTGCAATTCGACGCGCAGTTCTTCGTTCCGGTTCTGGTGCCCGAGAATGGGTTACAGGAAAAGTCAACGATAATACTTCCTGCGTCTCTCGGTGAAAGAAAAAAATCATAATCGCTTCCCGTTGGTACCGAGCGACCCGTGCTTTCGGTACTTATTATCTGTCCTTTACCCCGAGGCTTTTCACCCTTCTTGTAAGTTGTACCACCCCAGATGTCGAAATCTTTCATATACCATCGTGAAGGTGTACCATCTGTGTAGGCCGGGTATCACAACTGTAATTCTACTGCGCTTCAATTTTTCTAAATCATGTCAAGGACGTCGTAGCTCACTTGCATCCCTTGCTGAACCATTTACTGCTCAAACCGTCGCTTACCCTAGAATTATCATAAAATATGGACGCGGGCATAAAAGTTCAACATGGTGAACACATTTTTCCGGATTATCTCGGATATCACCTGCATTGGTATTCGTATCACCGCTTGAAAAGCCCCGTTCCAGCGTACCCTACCTTTCATACTTCTGTGAATGGTACCAATTACAAGACATTCTGGGGTCCATTTACCACCACCGTTTGCCAGCCAGGCAAGTAGCAGGGGCACAGGATATTTTCTACCTTCAAGCTTCAACTTTACCGCGTGTGCATGGTATTCAACTTTTACCGAATATAACTTGATATGTACCAGTTTCTCGAGAAATAATTCATGGAAATCCTCTCTCAGGTGGTTTAAACTCAAGTTATAGACGCGTTAGTCCTGAATTATCACAGAACAGACTGACTTTCTTCATAGAACCATCCCGAATTTTTACACGGCTTGTGCCAATTGATGGATTTCATCAAGCCCTGCTCTCCGAATCCCCGTAAGCTTGGAGAACACACTTTGAATCAGTGTTGATAAGCGACGCTAATCCCTTCTTGGTTCAACTCATAGCTGAATTAAGTTCCATGGATGTAGATATAGACGAAAATTGGCATTGATGGGACTTTCTGAAAAGCAGATGGAAGGTAATCTCGGTCGATCGGTTGTTCTGCCTGGCGTATTAACCCAGATGCAAACCTTGGCGTCGGCGCCAGACCGTGGTTAGGAAGAAATCCCTTGCGAATAATTGACTCTCCCGTTCTCGACGAATGCAGGAAATGCGACGGGAGTCTCCGCCGTCTCGGTATGAGCAGCTGAGACATGTGCTGAGGACGAAATGGGCTTCCTTGACTGGAAAATCTGGCGTGAATGAATCCCGGGGCCTGGGCCCGGGTGAAAAGGTTAATTCCTTGCTCGAGGACATCAAGGAAGACGAGGAGAATAAGGCCAAGAGCGAAACCGCCGCGATGGCTGTTTTTGTCAAAAAGGGCCCTCGAATTCACGTCGGTCAGTTGATCATGATTCTCTCACTGGGTCTTGTTAAAAAAAAAAAAAAAAAACGAAATTGCAGGTCATTTCGAAAAGTTTTAGGATGACGAGAGAAACTTCGTGATCTTTTGAGATGAACATTTCCAGAACCATTCTTAAAAACGAGGGCAGTAGAACTCCGTTTATCCAGGCAAATAACCAGATATTTTCCCTAAAATATCCCAACATCAAAGATCATTTTAAAAATTAGCTGGAAATTGAAGTCAAAGCAGGTGAATATTTATTCGAAAATAGCTGGACGTGATATTAACACAGTACCGCAAATCTTCCAGTATGAACGCATTTTCAGGGTAGTCTCACGAAATTATTTGGAAAGGCCGACATTTTAACGTGCTGGTTTCTTTTGCTTCTCGTGCGATAATAATTTGAATTGCTATTCTTGATGCTTTACTACCACTCTGATGCTCACCATAATCATCCCAATTTTACATAGATATACGTACTATGCATGGAATTCAAGGCAATTCAATGGAAATGAGGTTGAAAAAAATGTAAATTGTCCTGTTTCCTTATTCAAATCGTATATGATTGATCGAGGCACAGGTAATTTACGTTTTCCAGTAAGTCGCCGGAACTTGTTTTTTTTTTATTACATTTGTTACCAGCTTTTGTTAAACTTGAGAGGGGTTTTAGAAGTATAAAAGCGTACCTCGCCGAGAAATATTTCAGGGATATTGGTAACATAATTCAAGGGTATGTAGGAGGGATTTTAGTCCATTGAACAAGAAAATATCCTCCGAAGGAAGTACTGAGATCATGAGACATTTTTCCTAGGTGACTCAGAGACGCAGTGCCACGCAGAAAACCGTTTGGAGCCAGCTGACTGCTGTCCGAAGATGTGCATCTCTTGGTAGATAAATATCACGCTATTTCTTCTGGTCACTGAAAAAAGGCATCACCCGAGGGAAATTTTGGCTTTAGGTGCAAATGCTGTCGCATAGACCTGCCGTCATGGATAATGTGGTTCCGGAGAAGAGCGCTGGGACTGGTTCAGCACTGGGTATTCGAGGCCATCATCATGACGCTCATTGTGGCCTCCAGCGTCGCCCTGTGTTTCGAAGATATCTACCTCGAGCAGAAGCCTTACCTCACGGACTTCCTTCATTATTTAAATATATTTTTCGCCACAACGTTCACTGCTGAAATGGGGCTGAAAATAGTCGCATTCGGCTTTTGGCAGTATTTTACAAATTTCTGGACGCTTCTGGATTTCTTCATCGTCGTGGTGAGCCACAAAAACTTCCAACACAAATAGCTACCGTACTGGTAGATCATCTCAATTTAAACTATAATTTCGAAGAGTCTAACATTTCGTCTTTTTACACAATCTTAATGATCAAGAAATTTATCACGCATCTAACTTTAAATTTCAAGTCAGCGCAAATCTTAGTTTTTTTTTCAAATACTGTACCCGTATTTACTCCAGTACCATGAGGAACTTTTTCCTCAACATTCAGAGGGAAAAAGGGGGTGCGCATCAAAGACGGGTATACATTGTATAACGTTTTAGAAATTTAGGTGTGCATTATGTTTGATTCTATAATGCAAAATTGCGGACCCATTTCCATCGAAAAACTTACTGCAATACAAGAAATTGAAAATTAGTTGAATTCAAGATTAAATCATGTCGAAATCCGAATTTGGGTGCAATACTTTTTGAAAACGTAAAGTTTTAGAGTCACTTCAAGTGGGGTGCGCGGCTTAATCGGGGATAGAATTTTCTAAAAAAAACATTTTGACGGAAAAGACCCGGTGCGAGGCACGTGGTACAGTACTTGAGTAAATACGGTACAGTGGTGAAGCCTATGCACGAATTTTCCGGCCATCGTTTCGAAGGAAAAACGCGGCCTATAATTTAATAAATATAGGTGCTGTACTAATACTGTGCTTGAAAACGTCACACTCGTGAGATCACGAGAATGAGGGTGAGATCGATTCGGTAGTGAAGTTATATTTTGCCATCAACCGGACACAAATTCGGGAATTCAGCTACGAAAGGAAATACCAACACGTTAAATCTCGGATGCGTTTTGTTTCCCAGATCTCATTGACGGTTCTGGCTGCCGATGAAGTCGGACAAGGCTTCGTAGCCTTCCGAGGACTTCGGACACTCCGCGCCCTGCGCCCCCTGCGAGCAATAAGCAGATGGGAAGGAATGAAGGTAGCTGTCGAGGTTTATTCGAGCGCGGATCACGCGTCGGGGGAAATTAACGTCTGATTGCCTCTCCGAGGTCGTGGTGAATGCGCTGATGCACGCGATCCCGTCCATTCTCAACGTCATCTTCGTCTGCCTCGTGTTCTGGCTTGTTTTCGCCATAATGGGTGTCGAGCTTTTCGCGGGCAAATTTTACGAATGTCTCGACGACGACGGGGAAACACTGCCCGTGAACGTGAGTCTTTCATTTACTCATTGCGTCCGAGTTTTCCTCTGATAAAAGATGAAAGTCGCAGAGCTGACATGAGTGTTTACACCTCTTGGAATTGATAATCTCACCACCTGCTGTTTGTATTACCGTACCTTGTACTCTACGTCCGTAACGCATTGGTTCTACGGTAAGATTCTTTTCGACGTACGAAGACACGTACGGCACATTTTCATACTGACAAAATTTTGCTTACGCGCTTCAAGTTTTATTCTAGACCCACATCGATTTTCTCTTTTCGACAGAATTAATTTTTAATACAATTTAAACTCGACGGGGAAAAATGGTCGCTGTGAACTTGAGTCTTGGTGCCCTTCATTAAGTCACTTTTCGAGTTATCCTCCACAACGATGAAAGTAGCGAAGCTGAAATGCCAGTGTTTACAGCTCTCGACATTGATAATCTCGCCACCTGCTGTTAATAATACAGTACCTTGTTCTACACACGCGTGTTAGCCAAGGTGTGGTTCCTGTCACCTGAAAATATCACCTTTTCGCCTCAAAAGCAAACGCCAGGTTTTGTATTGGTAACACGCTGCTCAAGCGCCCCGAGCTTCATTCTCGTCGAATAAAATCGGGGTTTCGAGGAAACAAGACCACACCAATTTTCTCGTTCCTGCTGAAACCATTTGTACAATAATTTATGATGTTGAAGAGGATTTGAGGTTTTTGTCGGAAAATCGTACGGGTGTCTGAACGACGGAAAACGCCTTGCTTGTGAATGCGAGTCCCATTACGTACCCCTCCCCCTGAAATAACCCCCGAAACGGTGCCAGTCATACTGCCGCAGAGTGGACATTCCTTGAAACCTTTCAGTCACAGCTTGATAATTTTCTTGATAACCCGAGATAATTTTTACTCATGAATGTTCTCAGAGAAACGGCAGCCCTTGCGTTCAACCAAAAATTAATGTAAAAGTTGATACTACAGTATTTATTTTCCGCATTCTGTTCTGCTTAAATTTTTCCGAGGAAAAAATGAACGAATGAGTGAAATGTTTCCCATGTTCTTGCGACTCAAGCGAATGCAAATTACTGTTCTTTTTTATCATCGACCGTGCGTTTATTTGACTTGTGAAATTCAGGAGAAATCTATGATAGAATTTAACCATTGAGTTATTTCTGTCAAAACTTTCATCGATGCGACTGTCGCAAGTGAAGCAGCTGGAACTGCACATCGCTGATTTTGACTGCCTGCCATAAACGTGACAAATATGGATGAATATGGCACGATTTAAGCGATTAACTTGAGTCCTCGGTATACTCTGGAATCATACTGTAATATAATTTTGGATTTAGGATTTCAAACTGCGTGGAGCTTTTCAGGAGGTGATCTCTTTGCGTTGGGGGTCCGTGAGATTGATTATAAACTGCATGCTGAACCATGGGTCACGGGGTTCGGAAGAGTGGCGGAACCAGACTTCTACAAGCCCCAAAATTTCCTGAACTATACTATGCGGCTGCTTTTCTTCCGGGGGAAATCCATGAGCAAGTCCGGAAAGCAGACTCATATGGGGGGTTGATTAAAAATTCCTGCTTCCTCAGCAAAATTTTGAGTGCTTATATCAAAGCCCTTCAAGTTGAAAATGCACGACGTTCTGGTCGATCACTGACTCTCCAATCAGGAATCTCCGCGTTCTTGAATGAAAGTCCACTTGCCTCTCTTCTCACTCAGTCAATCAAAGAATGAAGATTACGAAAAGCTAACTCTAGAAATGCAAAAATGAGTTACAAGTACAGGACTGCCCTCAGAAATCAAGAGTGCCCATGCAATCACACTTAACTAAGCGGAACACTAAACCCCTTATTATCTCTACGTACGTGGACTCACTGAAGGCTACACACACAACTTTGTTGAACTATTTTCAGGAAACTACGATCTGAATCAGAAGCACCCCTCGAATAACACAAAATGGAGAAATTTGTCGGAACCTGAGAGTAATTTAATTGCCTCGAGAATTGTATTCCGCGTAATTTCAAAATTTTTCATCGAGTAAGGTTTTTTGGTGTCACTCTTCAGAACGTATGGCAATGTTTTCAATCTAGTTTTCCCCGGATGAAGTTAGCTAAGTTCAAGTCGGGAATATCATGGTTATCCAGTACCCTGAACATGCACATCACATGTGTACCTTCGTTGTAGCTAGCGCCGGAATCACGTCCAGGCCGCGACCTGAACCCGACAGGTTCCACAACTTCCTTTGGGATATACTGTACCTGGCAATACCAAGTGTGCCTCAGAATCCCTGCTCTCTTTTTTCAGATCGTGCAGAACAAGACCGAATGTCTGGAGAAAAACTTCACGTGGGTCAACGCAAAAATCAACTTTGACAACGTTGGCATGGCATACATCGCTCTTTTTCAAGTCGTGAGAGTCTTTTTCCTCCTCTATTTATGCCACGAGTTTTTACATCGCATTAGAACCCGGGGAGCGGAAGATTTTTAATTCTGACAGCGAGATTCAAGTTCTAATGATATGCACATGGTTGATTCTTGATTTTTTTCTGAGATTGACAAAACTCTGAAAATGATTAGGCGACGTTTGAGGGGTGGTTGGATATTGTCGAAGATGCAATGGACAGCAGAGGAGTGGACCAGCAACCAGTCAGGGACAATAACCAATACGCTTCGATATACTTTGTGATCTTCATAATCTGCGGTTCTTTCTTCACGCTGAACCTATTCATCGGTGTGATCATCGACAACTTCAATGCCCTGAAGAAGAAGGTGAGAACCCGGAAGTGCATCCGGCACTGGGGGCAAATCATTACCAATCGATATCGTTCACAGTATGAGGGCCGAGCCCTGGAAATGCTTCTGACCGAAAGTCAGAAGCACTACTACGCAGCTTTGAAGAAACTCAGTCGGAAACGGCCGCAACGAGTCATCCGTAGACCGAGGAATAAGTACCAGGCGTGGTTCTACGATTTGTCAATGTCTAGAAAGTTCGTATGCGTTGGGACTCACGGCCGCGCCATTCCCGTGCGGTTAATAACTAACGCCGAGTCATGACGCGAACAAATGTTTCCTCCAGGTTCGAGATGGTCATTTTTGCGCTGATATTCGCCAACATGGTCGTGATGGCAATTGAGCACTACGGCATGTCTGAGAAGTCTCAGGAAATGCTCGAGTATTGCAACATATCTTTTATTTTCCTCTTCACGCTGGGTGAGCCGCAATTCCAAGGAGGAAACGGATTCACATTCTCCGATTTCGAGCACCTGGGTTTTTTTCCTGACTGTTATCTATATAAGCTCTTATTTTCTGTTCGAGAAATTCTCTCAGTAAAAAAAAATATTCACGGTATTCGTACGTAAGTTCGTTCCATAGTAAACTAATTCAGTTCATCGTATATTCTCAACTTTGGGTCTTGGTTTTTCACGAATCTTGAAAGTGGAGAAGTCAGAAGATGATAAATTGTATCTTCAATCCGTTTCTCTGTTTGAAATATGTCGCAAGAAAAGCTCGCAGTTCTTGCGAGATCACGTCGCATTTTCTGTCTAGAATTTTCATATGTCTTTTGCCACATTTTTTTTTTTTTAATCGCTGTCCAAAATGGAGACGTTGCTAATAATTCAACGTAACCTGTATACGTTAGAACGGGATTTTTCAGACCACATAAAAATACGTAAAAGTTTGTTTATGAAGTTCTTCAGAACTCCTGCTCGTTTCGATGAATGTTTCATCAGCCCGAGTCATTAGAAGTGCAACTTCATCGAGACGTGGAGTTCGATTCGCTAACGCACTGATTAAATCTGGTTCTTTCTTAATTTCGAGCAGAGGCGTGTATGAAGCTCGTTGGATTGCGGTACTGGTACTTCACAGTCCCTTGGAATATTTTTGACTTCATAATCCTCTGCTTGTCCTCGGTGGCCGTGATGCTGGACAAGATGCGGAGCTTTTCGTTTCCTTTGAACCCGGTTCTGTTACGGGTCACACGGATCTTCCGTGTTGGACGTGTCCTGAGGCTTATCCGGGTGAGAAAATATCTTCTTCTAGCCCAGTGTTCCCCAACCCGTGGTCCGCGGACCGGCGCCGGTCCGCAGAAATTTTCTGCCGATATACGCAGGAAAATTTCTTTAGCATGATACATTTGTAGAAGGTAGTTATGAAGCGTGTTATCCTCAATTATCCAGAATGTGAGAAGCAAATAGAAGTTAGCTTTTATTTTTATTGCACTTAACACTTCACACATGTCTTCGCCTCTCTGAAATATATTATTTTCAGTTTTAAATGTTAGAAACCTACCTTAATGCTCAGCTTTATATTTTTTTCTTCAAGAAATTCCAATATATAGCTGCTGCTTATTGGTTCTTCACTTGAATTTTGCAACGCAAGTTTTGTTTTGAGGACGCTGTTTGGCAGGTATTTAAAAATATTTCCTGGTCTTCAAAAATTGTGTGGAACTTTGCCGATCCGCAGAAAATTCCATGACAATTTTCCGGTCCGCAAAAGATTTTATTAAAATTTGCCGGTCTATGAGCTAAAAATATTGTTGAACACTGTTAATCTGACCCACGCGGAAAATTTTGATTCATCAAGAAATTGGATTCCAAAGAAGCTTCGACTTCTATCTGCGTGAATAAAAATACTTTGCATCATCACGCCTCAGCATCTTCTAATGCCACAGCATCTTCTAAGCAAAGAATATTATTTGGAGCGTCAGTAAATTTGCCGGCATGATCCACTTCTCTTAACGAGATTCAATGTAAGAAAGGGGTGCGCATATCAAGGGTACTCGTGCACATGTCACGTAGTGTGAACAAATTTCGCACATGGAAGGTTAAAACAATCAATAAAAATCAGCGGTGAACCATGCAGGTAAGTTTGAACCTGGGCTACGTTTAATATATCCGGTGTTGGTACCAGCGGGTGATTTTCAAACTTTTGTCATTTTTTTTAATGCACAGAAGGTCGAAAAGCCTGATTTACGTAGAGGATAGATTTTTCATTTTAGTGAAACGTATTAAATTGTATTAATCCGAGGAATGGCGAATGATAAATGATGACTTCACTCCAATCAACTGTGTTCCCATCAGTTTTCAAAGCACGATTGCCGATATAAATGTAAAATTTCCAAGGGTTTGCGGATTTATTTTTCTCGTCAAGTGTAGGTATTACCCTTCCGGTTGAGGGTACTGTATAGGGTTTGTATTGTCGTTTCCCGCGTTTGAGTTCGATCATTGCAGAAGAATGAACTCCTCTTTGTGTGTCTCCCAGGCGGCCAAAGGCATTCGGAAGCTGCTTTTCGCTTTGGCCATTTCCCTTCCGGCACTTCTGAACATCGGAGCGTTGTTGCTGCTGATCACTTTTGTATACGCCATTTTGGGCATGGCTTTGTTCGGACACGTGGCCCATAACGGTGCAATAACCCCTACGACCAATTTCGAAACCTTCTCGAGGAGCATGTTCCTTCTCTTTAGGTACGTATGAATCCCTTCATTTTTTCCTTATTTTCTCCCATATTCCCCTGCTCTTCGTGGGCTGATTTTTTTTCTTTGACCAAATGCGACGATTCTTTCCATTTCTACGACGAAAGTTTGAGCGACATCTTTCTTCTACCGACGGCATCTGTGAACTGCGCTTTGTTGTCTGGAACGCCACCTTCTCTGTCGGGCAAAACCAGCAACTTCGAGAGACTGTTGTAGTGTTAGGTATCCAGATAAATAAGTATCAAAATTGGAAGTACAGTATCAAACCGGACATTTGAGCTGTTGGCATTTTTATTTTGCAAATTCAATCTCGGCGGTTTTTAAACGCTCCGGAGAGGCTTGATTCGGTTTGTTTTCTGCATTTTAAAAATAATTTTACGAATATATCACGACTCTTCCCAGGATTCAACGGATTCAGCATCAGCTACTTTATTTGCTGAAGGGTATTTTTGTGATACTGTACCTTCAATTTTTGTAAATGGAAATGATTGTAAAGCGTTGTGAGTGCGGTATGATAACACTTGTTCTTCTTCGGGTTATCAAATTAGGATTTATAGAGCTGACAGCCGGCACATCGCCATATCCGACGTGTGGTCCGGCATGTACATGTATCATTTACTATATAGGGAAAAGTACTGCGCAAGATTGCGTCGGGGTAATGGCCAGTTCAAGAATGTAGTACAGTATTCAGCTTCGATGAAAGCTGAACATGCATAGAATTGATTTGCTATTTATATGCCATCGACCTTGTGCACGAACGTCCTCCCGAAACAATCGAGCGATTCGCTCATATCAAATTTTCAGGATAGACGATATGCGATTCCTACAACGTATGTAGATAAGAGCTTTCTCCGTTCATGTTCTCGGCAAGTTATTCCCCGGGGATGAAGGTCGTGACATGGACAAAATTGCACTCGTTTTGAAGAGACCTCAGACCAGAAATGTGATCCCGAGCAAATTTATTTTTGCAGGCTGCTGACAGCAGCAGGGTGGAACGAGGTGCTTGAATCGCTGATGATTTCACCGCCAGAGTGCGACGAGAAGGAGGGAAATTGCGGCGTGCCGGGTGCAGCCGTGGTGTACTTCGTGTCGTTCATCATCATCAACAACCTGATCATAATCAACATGTACATCGCGATCATCCTCGAGAACTTCTCTTTGGCCCAAGAAGAAGAAGAGCTCGGGATTGTGGAGGACGACATCGAAATGTTTTATGTGCACTGGGCCAAGTACGAAGACGCGTATATACTAATTTCGCCAGCTTAATAAGGTCCAGCACTGGTGTCTTTTTCCCACCCGCAGGTTCGACCCGCACGCGACACAGTTCATACATTTTAATCAGCTGTCGGATTTTTTGAGCGATATCGAACCCCCGTTGCAAATCAAGAAGCCCAATCTCCTGGCCATGGTGTATTTCGATTTGCCCATTTGTCGGGGGAATAAGGTTCATTGTTTGGACGCGCTCCACGCACTGGTCACGCATGTGCTGGGAGAGGTCGATGAGACCGAGGAGCTGAAAACAGTTTCGTGCTTCCTTTTCTTGCCTGAGCATGCAATGATCAAATAATGACCCGAACGTTCCTTTTCACCAGTTGACGCAGCTGATGCCATTGTTTTGCACCGTAGTTGCTCCTTGGGATTATTTCATTATTCAAGCGCGATTTCATCCTTCATTTTTTGGTCACCGAAATCTTTACGCGAGAACTGTTTAACGACTTTCCGAAATTATCTCTTCCCTGACTAGATGTCGTTCCTTCTAAAATAAAAAATCAGCCGCGAGTAACTTCGTCTATACCAAAAAAGTTCAAGTTCATATATTCCCGCATTTCCCGTAGCGTTCAAGTATGTCACTGGAATGAAATCAAGTTCAAAGAATTTTCTTTTTGGAAAATCGTACTAGAATGGGGAAATATTCTGCGAGAAAAAATCTAACTGTATTTTAGAGGTACTGTAATTGCATAATGACGTCGGACAGCGATTCCATGAAATGAAGATACTGTAAACGAGAAGTGCAGTTAATATACCAGGAAATTTTTTTATTTATTTATTTACGAACAAGCAATAATTTCAGTAGCCACTATATGCAATATTTTATATCCTTTTTATGAGTTGGCTAAAAGAGAAAGAGTTACCTCATCGGTAACGTTTGTCGTAATAATACGCCTATTTTCGAAGCTTCGTTATAAAATTGTATATAATAATTTCATTTATCAGAAAATTTCAAAAATGTTACAAAAACAGCCCAGGCTTCTGGACGCTTTTCCTAGAGTCAAAAGTCAGAAAAAAGTGCTTCTCATTATTTCGAAGGATGTTTTAAAATACTGTAGCTTGAAAAAAGGCCACTAATGGAAAACATGATTCACCCAAATATTCCTCGAATATAAATTTAAAAATACAATGAGCTCACAAAAATAACGAGTCACTTCGGATAAAACGTGACGTGCGCAGAATTGTAGGATAAAATTGCAATCGAAATCAAAGACGTAAAATCGATAAATTTCTTAAAATATGTATCCATCCCATCTTTCAATCAGACTCCGATAGAAGTCGCAGCAAATACAGTAGTTCGATAAGTTCTACGATCATCCAAAAATTCATGAACATACGATGCCTATAAAACCAGGGCTTCAACATACAGTATAGCTAAACGTTTTACTGTACAAATAAAATAGCACTTCCATTTCGGTTAGTCGAGTTATTTCGGACTTATTGTTCAACATTCACATTCGAGATATTAATGTTAAATAAGGGATAAAAATTAATTTTCAAGTTACACCGAAATACATTTTTGCGATCATCAAAGATAATGGAATATAACTATACTGTTTGTTGAATTTTCATCAATGCACAGTATTTAAAAATGTTTGCTTATTTTGAAGAAAAAAATGTGTCGCCTATACAGTCAACCCCTGCAGAACGGACTTGATTTGTGCAACGAACTAGTCTGTTCTGTGAAAAGTCTGCTATGAAAATTCACTATACAGTAGTGACCTGAGGGACTCACGTCCACTGGCAGCATGCACTTCTACATACAGTGCTGTAGTCTGTTCTGTGAACTTTGTCCGTTCTGGGTGAGGAAAAACTGCCTTTGGAGGTGGTATTTTCTGCAAAATCCTTACTGCGGGAGGTCTGTTCTGTGGGCGTTGACTTCATCCCTATAAGACCTCATTATTCTGGTGATACGCTGTTAAACTAGGAAACAATGAACAATTTTCAACAGTTGTACAGTATCTCCTGGATGCTTGCATGTGGATGAACATGTTGAAGCAGGAAGAAAAATAAGCTTGAAGTCAATTCGGTTCTCTTTCCAAAACGTCTTATTCGTGGTTTACCATAGAATTGGCTTATAACATGAACTTACTTGCGAATGGTTCGCCATATAATACTTTGCCCTAGGTAAAAGTTGTGTACGCATCTGGCATGTATACATTTTTCAGAAAGTTTCTCACACGTTTTCCTCAGATAGCAAAATTAAAGAGTATTTTGTCTGTGATGAAATAAATCAACTTTCCCTTCTCGGTTCCTTTCGCTTTTGCTGGTCCAGGTAAAATGGCGGAGGGTTTCATCGATAATCTGTCTGAATGGAACTCCGGAAATGCCAACAATTTCTGTGGCTGACGATCTGTAATTAATTTCAAGTACATTACATTTTATGTACGCATATCTGGTAAAACGTTTGAGCAGACCCTCGAACCGTTGAAAAAGCAACTTTTTGTCGGGCCATCATTTCCTCAAACATAGGAATTATAAATTCAATTTTATTTGAAACCCATAAAGAAGTCGTCTACGAAAGAAAACATATCTTGCTTCAACTATGCATTTTTTCAATCCCATTGGTTCATTAGCTTTGAGAATAAAATTACTTGCGGGCCAGTGCAGTTTCTACTGTCATCTCCCCTTTTAGAGTGGGAGATTAAAGAAAAGTCAAGAGTTGACAAAAATACATCTCCATTTTCTTGAGGAATGCAGTACCGTTTCCGGCTCGGGTTCCACTCAAGTATGGCATCCGCGTCCTCCCTGCGTACGGGTTAAAAAAAATTGTTATCTACTGGAATGCTTGCTCGAGTCACGTGATGGATCACCTCAGCGTTTGGGTTGTCCTTTTCTGAATCTTTTTTTTTTTTTTTTCAAAGAAAACCACTATTTCAGAGTCTCCATACCGCAAGGAAATAAAATTACAAAAATGCAAATTAAATGTATCCCGATGGAGATATTTCTTTAAAATTTCCAGCAAAAGATTGCATGAAGTATCTTTTCGAATCTGTTTGGTTGGTAGGAACTGAAGGGGCCAAGCTTGAACGCTGCGCAAGATAACTATCTAATTCAAAACGTCTACGTCTTATCTAAGCGCTCAAGTATTTTTTCAAGTGCATGAGTTTAATCTTTCATTTTTGAACCATCCCGAAAATTATCAAACAATCGAACTCCTTTGCCACAAGTACCGCAGCATTAGAGAAACTTAAGGGAACGTGAACAGAGCGAATATCCCCGAGAGACTGCTGACTATTCACACTTTGAAGCGAAAATTTCCAGTCCCACCCAGATATTTCACGGACGATCGGCCCAGGAAACCAACTAAATTTTCCATGGAATTCCCAATGTTCTACGGATTTTACTGTCTAGTTGTTCGTATTTCAAGATCATCAGTCAAACGTTATTTAGGCGGAATAGACGAGCGATGCTTGCGATGAACGTGAATGTTGCATGGCAGCTGTTCGCAATCATTCTCCGTCGCTGGATCAAAAGTATTGTGTTCATGGCATCTTCTCTGCACAGCTCCAGCAAAAGATGGACGAGAAATTCAAGAAGCAGTTTCCCGAACGGAAGAAGATCGAAATCGTCTTGACGACAACTGAGTGGTATAGACGAGAAAGGGCTGCAAATACAATCTGCAGAGCTTGGAGACATTACAGAACGTAAGCTCTTTGATCTATGCACAATACTGTAATTGCGTCGAAACAATTATCGGGAGGCCAATGCGTTGCGAACTTCAAGGGGCGTCGGACAATTATCTGAAACTTGAATAAACTTTTATTCGAGAGCGAGTAAGCATGGATGCATGCGGGGGAAATGACGAACACTTCGTCACCACGATAAGAAATCCATAACGCAAATTCATCTGTTTGTTCTGACATACCTATTCGAGGTTATCGAATTTTCTTTCATCGCCAAGGCGCCCCGCTAGTCCTGGAGTGATTCTTCAAAATTATCTCGTGGCTATTGAAGCGAAATAATATGTATAAAATACATGTACTCACCGTCACGAAAACGTACTTGAGTCACTTTTTGCATTTTGCTCACTTTCTCATCACTGAGTCTTCCCGGAATACTGTATGAAGTTCCGTTGGTTTGCTACATGGTATCTTCACCTCAAATTATTTTCAAAACTTTTGAGTGGTCTTCATCATGATGAATGAACAAGTTTGTGCCACGCAAAATCTTCGTATCATAGCCGCGTGAGCGTAAATATATTGCTGGGTTAACTGCTTAATCTTAATGTATTTTGTAACAGAAAAAATCAAATAGGTGATTAAAGATCGTTCGTTTGCAGTTATATAACCTTTTTTGCTCTGGAGATGCTTCTTGAAAATTCATAGAATTTCTGCCGTAACCATAAAATAATATACAGTATTGCTAAAACAACAAGAAAATAGCACAAATATTTAACCTGCTGTGTGACAAAAAGATACGTTTTCTGGGGAAATGGGGCTGGTAATCAAAGTAGAATTGTTGATCAAGCTTTTGAAAAAAAAAGTCGGGGAAAACTTCAGAAAATCATTCACGGAAAGCCTTAAAGAGCACAAAAAACTCTAAATTTCCAGAACATATTCATCATGTAAATCTTTCAACCCACGATCTTCCAGTCATCCTTCAAATCCGTCATGAAAAAAAGTATCTTTTTTAAACTTTTCAGGAAACTGAAAAAAGAGGCTTTAAACGTGTCAAATTATCTTATAAAACGAGAGGAAACTGTCAGAAATGTGTCACTTTTTGTTTATTAAAACATTATTTATATTCCATTCGAGCTTCATATGAATTCAATTTCCTTTCCATTGCTGCTACGATTCTTTCCCGAGATTTATCAGCTGAGGGCGTTTCTATATACACACGAGGACAGGATGAAATGATGAGCATATAAGTCATATCATATGTGTTTATGCACACTATTTGGTGAGGGGGGTGGAAGCGTTACAAACGAGGCGAAAAGCAGTTCCCAGTGGCAATACACAGTATTCTCCGGTTCTCTGCGAAGTTTGTTTCATTTCGCTTTTTCAAGTGGCCATCGCCTCGTAAGAGACCGGGTACTGTACCTGAGTCAGTGCCACAGAAGCCCCTGATGGGAGGGAGGAAGCATTGCATAAATTTGTATCTTCGTCTCCGCTGGAGCTAGGCGGGTTTCTGCATGCTCCGAAAATCCAGCAGAGCAGCAGCAATGTGTTAAACTGTTAATGAACCACCCTACAATTTTAATTGACAGGCGGCAAATACAAGCGAGTGAGGAAGGACCCGTGCGAACGCCCAGTTTCCGTCTGCGGGAGGGCCTGAAGAACATGGCCGCGATTTTCGGCGGCCAACGAGCACGGACTCCGTCCCGACAAGAGAGCGAGCGAAGCGACCAAAGCAACTCCAATCTCAATGGATCCACGATGCATTTGCCGTTGCCGTTCCCGTTTTCCCGGCGCTCATCGCGAGCTTCCAGCCGCGGTTCGCATCACTCGCTGGACAGCAACCAGGGCGGAGGCTTCCACAGTGCTTCGGTCATCCTCCACAGTTTGATGTTCCCCGAAGCCGATGAGCAGGCCGAAGAACCAATCCCGGTTGAAGATGTGAAACTGGTGTAGGGGGTCCCTCGACCTTGATGATGGAAGCCTGCGCGGTTGAAGATGGCGTATCCCGCGGTGATACTCGGAGACACGCGTGAGTCAAGGAGAGAAAATCGCTAGAACGATTCCGGTGATTCAATTTCGCTCGCCAATGATTTTGCGTATTTAAAGCTCCTTTTTTCGAGCACTTTCATTGGTATTCCCGTTTTTGCGGCGCTCGTCGCCTGTCTTAATGCGTGTGTTTACGCCAATCTGTGGGTAGAAACCAGGGCGGAGATTTACGGGGGTTGAACTTTCAGGGTAACACCCTCTGACTATTCTAACAGGATAATGGACGAGTTCATTCAACTGAAGTTAAATTCTGGTTACGGACCTCTATCATTGATTCATCATCAGTTCGGTCAACATCTCTATTTTGTTTATCTCATTCAATATCTGGTCGAAATCGTCAATTTAAATTAAAGGCTGTGTAGGAAGACATAAATTTTACTTCTCTTTTCTCGATTGCATGATCTTGCCTTTTTTAAGGAATATAGATCGCTGAAGTACAGTACACATCGTAATTACATTGTGTTGTTTATTATTAATTGATGGGTTAAGTAAGAATTATTTCAGCGGCACAGAATGCGTTTTTGGTGCGATTACTCCTATACTCTGCAGTCGCGGTTGTTCATGAAGATTGTTCATGAACAATCTTCTGAAAATTAACGGCGGCTCTGATCCCAAAACTGAAGAATTATCTCGACAATTACGCACTTCCGATGTCATGTTTCGATTTTGTCGGGGGTGGATTGAACGGCGAGAAGATTATGTTGATTCGCCCGAGTCGAAAAAGTTGATGCACGCATCGCGCAACGATTTTCGGCTATGTTTTTCGGAGAAAATTTCTAGCTGATTTCAAAGCGAGCGAATGCGAAAGAGTCGCGGGAAACGATTGCGAATAACCGTTGCGAGTGTTTCGGCGTGTGGTAGGCGCCAAACCTCAGCGACAGAAATCTGCTGCATTCTTGAGAAGTTACTTACCACCAACGCTATCTCGAAGCTGCGGTTAGTGCCAACAGCGATCTCATGTAAGAATCTCTTCACGTCAAGTAATTGCCGGATACTTTGATCGCATCGCGAAGAATCCATATTTTCGGATGTCTAATCTTTTGATGCTGTTGAAACTGATTCGTTCGTGCGTGAGGAAGAAAGACCGGGCCTGCGAACGAAGAAGAGGAAACAATCCATTCTTGCTTGAAAGTGTTACCAGTTTTCGTAGACTGGCCCAGTTTTGGAAAGAGAGAAAACGAGACGCATTTTCGAATTCCCCGCGACGCCCGACAACTCGTATGTGAAGCTATGACAGCTGCGGATCGCTTGCTTCTGAACGATTGCGACGCAATATTATTCGGGAAAGTAATAAAGGATCTGCGTTTGAAACACGTTCGTTTCATACTCCGGCGTATTTGAATTCTGCGAAATTTCATGAGGCATTCAGCACTTCATTCATGTAGATGCTTTCCCTTTGATGATCGTGGCAGCATTCTCAAATTTCCCTCGCGATTTTGTAACGTCACCTGAGGTGAAAAAACTCAGTCATTTTGAAAATTCAATGTTTTTCCAGATTGATTAAGACGTTGATTGGCGAATTTTAATTTTCGGAGCAAAAATACTTTACCGTGCTGAGGTAGACGCACCCTTTTTTCAGTGCTTTTCCGGGCGGTTTTCTGAGCTCAAGTATTCGATCGCTTTCAATTACATGTTGCCTCTTTAAACCTCAACGCAGAAATGAAAAGTACAATATGTCCACTATGTCTAAAGCATATATATGAGAAACATTCGCCCGAAAGCTTCTGCAGATGCATTTTGATGTTATGTAGTCAAGGGGATATAAAAAGTAGGCTGCATTATAGAATCGATGCCTTTTGGTAAGTGCTATACTTTTTTCTTCGTGATAGCTGAAAAGTGTAAGGGTATGGGGACATGAACATCGCAGTAAATTATTGTAGTTTATTCGATTTACGCGAGTAAGAGTGTAGGCCTAACACTGATTTTGGACCTCCATTTCAGGATGAAAAAACTGCATATGCTTCATCAAAGATTAAGTGGAAAAATGTTACGCGTAAATTGGTCTCCGAAACCTAAGCGTGAAGCTTTCGTCGAAGTAGTATACTGTACTCGCACTACTAAACATTCTTGCCCTGAAAAGCAGCATCCTGGCACCTAACTGAATCATGCTTGATGTTTCCCTTTCGAACTTCTGAGAAAAGTGTCTAGCCAGCGAGGAACAAATATATAGTACAGTACAATGTTCTGTATTATTCAAGTCAACGCAGCCTATACACGTTTTCATATAAAGTAGAGGTCATTGAAGTAGAGGTGCTTTGAAAATCACTTCAGGAGAAAATTTGTGGTCCGTAGTCGAATACTGTGTCATCCGTTTCGAACATCGCATTCCGCAATATCATTGGCATTTTCTGGGACAGTATATTGCCCCTTCATGAGCATTTGGAATAAGCATATCCTTGTGGTATTTTAATTCAAGCCCGAAAGCATAAGTTAATTTGAATCGTCATTGAAGTTGACGGCACATTTCTCAACGAAAACATCACGACTCGTCCGTTCTTCGGCACTTGGGCAGTAGTTAAGTTCGATCCCATTCGTGCCTGGATTTCAATCGGCAGTCCGTTTATGCTGAATTAGTTTATTTCATTGTCCAATGATAAGCACCGACCGATTCTTCGTTCTTGCATTTGATCTACATCTAGGCGTCAGCGGAATCCCGAGAACATATTCTGGCAAACAATAAATAATTCGAAGAATCTCAGAAGGACACTGCGTCACAGTCCTCAATGCTTTTTCTTTTGGCAACCTGCCACGTGGTCAGGGTAATCGCAGTTGAGGATTTCCGGGTTGATGACGAGTCCCGGGGGACACGAGCCCTGAGTGACGATCCACTCAGCTCCGTTCGGTGCGCAAATCACATAGTTTCCTGAACAAGGGCCAGTGGGATTGATTCCGGCTTGAGCGCAGACGTCGTCTCCCGGAATCGTGACTGACGGTTTTGTTGTGGAACTTGGCTGAAAATTTGATTTAAATCATAACTCCGTCTATAAATTCACAATCGTCCGTCATTCGAACAACCACTGTCGTACTGAACTGTATTCTGTGATATACACGAAAGAAAGTTACCGGCGAAACTGTGGTCCTGTCTGGGTCTGGCGTTGGAACAAAACCGTTCAAAGAACGCAGGATGTAGTTCAATAGAGGATTTTTCCCTTCTCCGCAAGTGTTCTGGAAGTCGTCGGTCTCAACTGACCACACCATTGCTCCTCCAATCGGCAAAGCGTCAATCAAAGCCATCTAAAGATTTTCAATCGAAATACAGTCTCCGTGAATGCATTCCCTCTTCAATTTTCTTTTTTAATTTGTTCATCTTTCATTGTATACCAACTAGAAATGAAAGCTCCGGTTCTCATCCCATGAATTTTTGAGCCTAAGATTTTGCGAGGAACTGCTAAAGAGAGCCAGCTGATTTTTAAACATAGCCAAGCAATCTTGTACTGAATAAAGTAATATTTCAAGCGATATAGCAGCTGAATGTGAGCAGAAAGCTTGAGTATAATCTAGAAGCGAGTTGAATAACCGGAAAAATATTTTGAATTAAAGCATGAAGGAACTGCATTTTTTAGTGACATCTGACCATTCGTTCTCACGTAACTCTTCATTTTTTTTAAAAGCTAGGTCGGGTACTTTTGTTTATCAGACGTCATGCAATCGATGATCGCACACAATTGCATCAGTGGAAGCTGGACAACGTGGACTTTTCTGAGCTCCCAACTTCTACAAAATATTTTTGGTCGATTAAAGGTGAATGCTGTAAAATGTGTGAGCATGCTTTCAACTTAAGTACCGCAGAAAATAATTTTAGGAAATCGTAGTAGTCATTGGGAACAAATTTATAGCAAACTACTGTGGTTGGTATACAACAGTTTTCTGCCGGATTTATGCACTCACTGATCCCGTCCGCAAAAATGAATCTTCATTTAGGATAAATTACTGGAAATAAACAAGATAAACTAAAAAATATTCACAAAATAGAAGCCGCCTTTCTTGAGGCAGAACCTGCGAATTTTACAAATATGAAAGATAAAGAATAAATATTTGTCAAGTCCAATTTATTCAAAAGCGAAGGAACGGCAGGGGTATAGAAAGTGCTAGTGCTCCAGGTGGAAAATTTAATAGTTCAGGGAAAAAAGTACTCTTTCTTCGGTATTATATTAACTCTTCGACTTGAGCAAAAATTAGGGTGCTGGCTAAGGTCATAATATTTGAGGATAGACGGTTTGCGGTCTGTACTCAAATACAGTATCTCGATTCTCGACCTTAGCCAGCAGTCCAGTGACGTACTTTTTCAGGACATTGCACTGGTAAAAGATAAGTCGGCCCGTGCGTAAATTAAGTATTTTTGTGGTGATCGGATCTGAATGAAGTATGGTAACGGAGGTTGGTGGTACCTTTTCGGCAAGTGCGTCGATATCGTCGTAAGAAAACCATTGATTCCTGATGCCATCGCGTTCGAAGATTACGTATTTCGCTTTAAGGTCGTCGAGCCAGTGGGTTTGGAAAGCCTCGCCCTGGTCTCGGTGGATCTCGCAAAGCTGAGGAAAACGGAAGCGGAAAGGGTCAGGACCGGAAGTCCGTCGGATCCACAGCCACATTTAGTCACCTCGTTGTAGCCGAGGACCCCAACTTGGCGGGTGTAGGGCCCTGCGATACCAGCCTCTGTCGCGTTGTCGTATATCTGGTTCAGAGCAGGATCATCCAATGTGAACCCTCGGGAATACAATGGCAAACCCATCGTGAGACGATCGCTGTGCACACCCATCAGCTCCACCCAGTAATTGATGGTGAATTCCTAAAAAAAAGGCTTAGTTTCAGCTCAGGGAACCATTTTTCGATTCGGTGTATTCTCTTGCATTGATGCGTTTTCTACGAGAAGTGCTTGATTCCCGCACTCAATCAAATTTTATGAGTTTAAGAAAACAGCAATAAATTCTTAATTCGTCGATAGTTTTTTGCCTTCGTCTATTTCCTTCGCCATTAGTGTCTGAATTCACGAAGATAATCTTTTGCTGCAATTTTTCAAGGCAATTCTGAGCGTTTCTCCATACAAAAGCTCCATACAATATGCTTGGATTTAACGCTGGTAGAACTGACAATGGTGCCCCTTTTCTTCCAAGAATAATATATTATTATGTACCAATTTAGAGGTTGAACCACTTCGAAAAGCAGGAAATGATTTATACTGTACAATCATTCACGAGAGTCTGATCTTCTAAACCCGCTCTTCTTCGGAACTCAAACCTTGAAATTTTTTTCAACTTTTCTGCGCGCTGAAAGCAGACTTTCATGCGTGTTACTGTACATATAAGCTAACTTTTTCAAAGTGATTTCAAGCATTCTAAGCCTCAAACGCTTCTGAAGTCACTGATGAATGCGTGATGAATTGAGAATGCATAGTAATACAGATGCCTAATGTACATTATTTTCAGATGCTTGTAAATACAATAGGTGTATATACAATTTTTACATTTGTTTTGATTGTCCAATTTAGTTTTTAGGAGAAATCAAGTACAGTATATAGTAATAGTGAAGGCTGAAGATGCACTAAACTGTAAAATAAAGCACTGAATGATATTCGTGGTTACATATGCCTTCATAGTCAGTTTCTTATTGCGAGGAAACTCGTCGCGCGAATTTTAGCTAAGACACGCCAATACCTCGAATCGCCTTGGGAATTTTCAAATTAGCATATTCTTTAAAGCAGCAAGCCTCACAATACCAACCGCAATTTATAACCCAGCTCACGATCTCGTTATCGAATGCCTAATTATTCTTAAGATCGGATTATTAGAAGCTAAATTATGCAGTTTTAGGCATTCAAGATATTCGTCCTATTCTTGGTGTGAATTTAAAATGCTTCGGCTTTTCCTGACGAAGCATGCGTGAGATTAGATGGAGAACTCTGACGCACGACGTTGAAGTAGGTATTATTGCCGGAGTCAAGTGCGTGCCCATGCACTGGGGCGTTGTGATGCACGTAGGTGTCCCAAGCGCCGTGATAATCATAGGCCATGACGTTGATGATGTCCAAGGTCCTGCGAAAGCGTACAGTTTAGCAGAGGCAGTCGAGTGTGAAATTGGCTGCCTACTCTATCAAGGCCTGGATGTCGTAGGCATCGTCGATGGTGACCCTCGACGGAGACACGGCGGAAGTGAGGAGCAGCCCGGCGGCCGAGAAGGCGACCTTCAGCTCACGCAGGAGAGCAGCGAAGTGGATCTGTTGGATAGCATTGCCGTCCTCGTAAAACATGGATCAACATGGTCTCTTTAAAAGCTTTGAAGCTCGAGTAAATGCTTTCTGGGTCACCGAGACGGAGTCTTTCTTGCGATCGCCGAATGCGGAACCGCCGAAACTTATTCGACCGTGTACTATGCACAAACCGTTATTTTTATAAACCTCCGAGAACCAGAAACAATATGCATGAGTTCTTTGATTATCCAGGATCTCGATTGACCGAAACACGAGGCAATTGAAAGGGAAATGCTAAGCATCAAAAGACGCTCGTGAAATATCAGAAAGAAAAAACATTATCTCACGAGAATCAAGCGGAACAATAAACAGCGTTCATTGATTTGCTTCCCTTTTTCAAGAAATTATCAAGAGGGAATATGAGGCATATGTTCCTCTGTGATTCACATTTTCTGGAAAGTGGGTTATGCTAAATGCATTTCTGGACGATGAATTTTGTCTTCCTCGATCAAATTTCTTCTTCATTCCAGATCGGGGTAAGTGTCAAAAGAATATTACATCAAATCCATCCATCTGAATTTTATTATGCAGACGTTTATTCGACCCAGCTAGGATCTTCTACATATGGCAATCTTAATCGAACCGTTATTCCGAGAGAATAAGAGTAGCACATAATTTTGTTGTTCACTGCTAATAAGAGACGAAATAATGTACCCAGAATGGATTGAAACTTCATTCATCAGCATGAGTCCGACTTGAAATATACTCGATCATTTCATCGCCGGATTATTCACGTGGTATAGTTAACTCGCCAATGTATAGTTAATTCTTCATGACGTTCAATTCATTTTAATCGTCTGCTCAGAGTATGATATTAAAATATGACATTGGAATGGTGTTTAGTAGCGTTTTTTTTTTTCTAAAAGTGGAAAACCTTGGTCCTTATTCCACTAATCTGAAGATCGCGGCATAGATGAGGATGGTTCTCCGATGATAAACGTGATATTTCGGAGCTTAGATAATGTAAATCTGTGTCTCTTGATTTGCGTAGCGAATTACGAACTTTGTTAATGGCATTTATGCAAAACGCAGACTTGATCCTGGATCATTCATTGAACCTGGCGAAATCGCTTTGAAACTCGACCAACTGCTAACAAACTTTTCCCATTCAAAGTTCACGCGCAGAAAATTCCCGTGAAGTGTTGCTTTGCATATTAGGCTGTATATCGTATGATGTATTTTACTCCCGAAGTACGATCGAACTTATTTATTTTCATCCCTTGAGAGGAAGCCGTGAGGTTAATCACGGTTCTGAGAATTCCATTAGAAGATAAGCCGGCGATTTCGGGGCTGATGAATATGCACGCGGTTCTCGAATTTCGAATATTGTCATTTCTGCGTTTTTTTTTAGGGGATACAGCACTTTTAAGTTGAATGAAACAGCAAGTATGCGACATTTATCAGGATTTAAAGCTGACCTTGTCTTCTTCAGCACCCCCACGGTAACTCGGATATTCCCAGTCCATGTCCAAGCCGTCGAAACCGTGAAGCTGTACAAACTGAACACAGCTTTGGACAAAGGTTGCTCTTCGTTCTGGGATTGAGGCCATCTGTCGCGTGACGTATGTGTTAGATTTTTGCATAACACCCGAGGAAATGAATTAGCACGTACGTCCGAATACTTTTCTGATCCTTCATTCCAGCCACCGATGGCGATGATCGTGGTCAATGCTGGATTTATCTGCCTCAGCGCGTTGAAGCGACGGTAGGCACCTTTATGCATGAGATGGCATTTTATTTTATGACAAAATGAGAAGTCAATCATCACTTTTGAGCACCAGACATTATCCTATGATTAAATATTATTCAACATCCGCAGGGGTAAAAAAAACAGCTAAATAAGTTCCTTATCATCTTTGACTTGTATCAACCTTGACCCAAATTTTAGTCTTGAACCATTGTAGCTCAAGGTGATACACTTACTAGAATTGAAAATTTTTCAAAAACTTTAAAGCTCCTACTTTTCAAATGTTTAATTTATCTGAAAAATGTATCACTTGCGAATTCAAGGAAGTTCGCTAAAATACTGGCTCACTGATGCAGATGGAAATTTAAAAAATTTTTAAAAATAGTATACGTGATACTTTATGAACTGACAGAACGTATCCGGTGATAATCTCCGATAATCGCAGTTCCACAGTAGGTACCTTTTTCTTCTAATGCGGGGCAGAAAAACATCTAAATGTTCGTTAAAAATTTGAAAAAAATGCAAGCGAAATTTACTGCGAGAAGTATCTTTTCGAGCGCTATAAGTCTGAGTTTTAAGATAAGAAAGTGATCCAAATAACTCACAAAATATTGTAGAAATCCCAACCTGCCATGTTTTAAAATATGCATTACGAATCAATTGGGTTTAGGCTAATTAACGAGAAACCAAGTTTTTGGCTTTCTTAAACTTGGATATGACTTCCTCGAAAGAAAACTCAATTTTTGCAGCAGAATGTTCACCATGATTTTGATCAACATCCAAATGAGTAGAGGATTCCCAAATTACCGAAAAAATAGCCTACCCACTTCGGCATTGCTCGGCTGATGCTGCTAAAAATATTTGAAGAATAAAACGGTTAATTTAAAAACGTGTTCAAAAATCCAATGAGATTCGGAAGCTTTTGGGAGTTGGAATATTTGCGAGGAAGTTGTCTAAAGCTCATGTACCCTGGTGTTATTATAGAATTATTCTTCGTTCTTCCAGTAGTATGAAGATGGCGTTCTCACCCTTTCCACCGTTGTCGTCGAGATCATTCCACGGGTCAAAGGCAGTAATTTGCCAGGTGGTATTATCCAATGCAGCGAATCCGAAGACCAGATGCGTGCACAGGAAAGGGTCAATATCCTCAATGTCGTATTTTCCCGGCCCTGGTCTGTAGACCGCCCAACTACCGTAATAGCACACAAGCTTCCTCCCCTCTGGAGACCACCGGGAAGACGTTGAACGATTCAGGTTTTTATGATACATTTTGATGCTCGGGAAGCAGACATTTTCTACTCTATTCCCTAAATTCCGATCCTTTTTCTCGACCAAAATCTCTTATGCAGTAGAAGATTCCCTTCATCAGGGCTTCACGAAAAAAATAGAAAAATTGAATTGACAGGAAGCGGAGAAGCCCGAAGTGCTGAAAGAAAACTCTTGGGTTGCCAATCTCGCGAAAACTGTTGTATATTTTTATGCGTTACACAATTATTTCTCGAAGAACTCGACTTCCAAAAATGTTGTAGGGTCTGGCATTCACAACTCTGGCAAAATATTTCGTGACAAAACGGAATGAATTGATTTACGGAGATGCTGTGACCGTTTTTCAACGGTTAACGTTGATCTCGGGTAGTTATATGAAGAACATCTGGGGAATGCTGATTGGCACACTGATGCTTCCAATGCTTTTACTCGGCAGCAATTTGGAGGATCGATTGTGAGATGTGAAAGAAACTGGAGCATGCTTTGAAGCCCTGCTGCAGCACTATGCTGATGGGGAGAAAATTGTATAGGAAAACCTTGTATGAAAAGCCATTCACCTTTTGGCTGGCCGTAGCGATACGGCTTCTCTGGAACTCCGGCGCGAAGCTTTCTTGGTGGCATTGCCACAACTACGGTCGCCAGAGCGACCAACAGCAGCAGCAACAGCTTCATCGTTGCAAAGCTGAAACACTCTTCAGACAAACAAACTTTCTAGACAGAATCTGCAGGATGCACACGAGATTATTTTCGGTCAGAGAATGAAAGGAACACTCTGTCAGGGTCAGATGATTTTGTAGGATTGAGGAACACGGGGGAAGGAAGAGCTTGTCACAGGTGTCATCCAGGCACTGACGGTGATATCCAGTGAAAATCGTAAGGATACCAAAGAATTCCCCTGCTGTGATTTCAACACCGCTCCATTATTGGAGATAAGAATGAATTCTTATCTGAACTTAATTCTATAATATCCAATAAGTGAGTGGAGTGCAAGAACATTGCATCATTCATGATCGAAAGCAAATATTCCTAATTAGAAAATACTTCTCTCAAAAATTTCTTCCTCCTTCCTTTAAAAATTCCAAGACAGTGCTCGTTTTAAAACTTATCCATGAATCGAAGGTTAGATTGTCAAATTTTGCAAGAGACGAAGTTGGCAAGTGTCCCCGTCTAGAGCTGGAAGCAAAAGCATTTTGCAGGAATGAATTGTACAGTGGCATTCTCACCCTTCCTGCCGTTTTCGTGCGGGTTTAAGTCATTAATTTGCCTTGTAGTAATATCCGATGCAGTAAACATGTATAGACCAGACGTGTGCATGAGAAAGTTTCAATTTCCTCAATATATACAGTATGTCGAATTTTCCCTTTTCTGGTCTGTAGAACGCCCAAATAACGCAATAGCACACAACCTTCCGCCAGGAATAAGATAAACGATTCAGTCTATTTTTATGTAAGAGTTTGATATAAGCAAGAAAGAGACACATTCCACTTGATTGCTGAAATGCGAATCTGGGAATGCACTGCTGGTGTGGATGTAGCTCGTCCGTAGAACTCTAATTATCTAGCAAATCACGAAGTGCTCTAGCGCAAGGAAGGAAAATCATGGCTAATCAAGTAATATTCAACAAATTTATATAAATACCACAATATCCATTAAATCTAAAATTGTGTTAGCCCAGATACTTATTCAAGCAGTTATAAACAAATTGATTTCAATAAGTCTCAGACACGGTAGATATTTGTGTCATTGTGTAGAAACTACTGTTTTGTTCATACTCGATGAAGCACTCTGTTTTCTCAGCAAATTGGATACACGATAATTGAAACCCGGATAATCAAAGTTGTATCCCAAAATGGGAAATTGGTTTTGATACAGTAAATTTAAATTTGGGCATGCTGGTTCATCGTCGCAGATGCCATATTTGTCTGACCTTTGATGCATACAAATAAAGTTTTCTATGCTCTGTAACGAAGAAACTTCGCTCTGTCGTACCTGGTACATAGACACAATTTTCAATCCACGCAATATTATAAAAGTTTTGCTTGAATTCATCGCCCCACGGCGAGATGAGAAAGTATTTTCCCGAGCGAAAATATGTAAGAAAGGTCCATGAACAGAAGAGCTTTTTATGAGATTGAGTATGAAATAAAGAAGAAAGTGGTTCGAATTCTTTTATATCAGTTGCTATAATTTTTCCTCCCGTCGTTACCCCAAGCGGCATCATCGTCACTCATCAACTCAACTCAGTAGCCCTCTTTCAGTTGACAACCTCCAGCAGCAAGGAAAGAAAACTCGCAAAAAGAACAGCGGCGATACAACCGTGGCACCTCATAATAAAGAAGTTCACGAACAAGTCCCTCTCACGGCGCAAAATGCAGAACAACTATATTCATATGAAACCAGGCGACAAAAAGCCGCCGTTGGCAGAAAGAAAGAAATCTATGCACGCGACAGGAAAATAAAAGACCCGTGTCCGCACGGGAGCGTAACTTGAGAGGCGCGAATCCATGCAAAAAATTGATTTTGAGCAAGTATCACCAGTCCGTTAAGTAACATTCATTTCTTTTTTTCCCCTCCGTGAATTAGCTTCTCTCATTGCAGGTGATTCGCTGCTAGATGAAGGGACTCATCGAGCGCGCGACGTTACCTGGCGATGCTCATGCGACATCACTTGCGTCTTTCTGTTTTCGAATTTCCCGCGGGCGTCGCATTGCCGTAATCCACAGTCCCCATGCGGGGAAATGACTTACATCCTTTCTTAGTCACTTCATGCTTATGAAACGAGTGGAAGCCGATTTCCAGGCTCACTAAGCAGCCACTTCCGCGTCCCAGAGATTCTCGGGGTTTTCAGCAAAACGTACTGCGGCAAACTGTTAGCCGCGCAGCAAGTCTAGCAGAAAAATAACATTTCTGCTGAACCAGCAATGGCCTTGAAGCGAAGCTTCCGGCAACGTGAACTACGCGGCCAACCGCAAACCGAAGTCCGTCGAAACCTTTCAATACACGGAAGGTCAGAAGTGACGGAGTCGCAAGCCGCGGAATCAGCCGTCATCCAATAAAACACGTATTGCACGAGTGCAGGATCCAAGCTTCGATATTCAAAGAAACATTCAAAATCTTGGGAGGAACATCCAAAAAAACGCTCTAAAATCCGACGATGAGAAGTGCATCTCTCTCCCTGCGCCATGGGTTCCGCAATATTTTGATGCTGACCCGCAGTCGGCGGACGACTACACCTACGCTCGTCTCCCAGCAAGGAAAGAAGGATCAAGGTGTACAGAGCGCGCGATATGAACGATAGGACATTTTGATTACCACAACGCATGGAGAATATGTGGAGTGGGTCCGCAACGAGCCGCCAGCGACGGCAGGAAGCCCGCAAAAGCTTCCTGTCACCAGCCAAAAAAAAAGCAATCCCGTCGCGGGTGCAGGGTGATTGGGAGCTAATCGAGGAGCGCCGGAAGGATGACCGTGGCGCCGAGTACAACAGTCAGACGAATCGCATACAATGAAACGTGAAACCGGCTCCTAACGCCTGTTTTGCCTATGCTCGCGTTCGGGACTCATGCGAGATACGAAGCGTAGTCATGGAGCGCGAGAGGAAAAACAACCAGAGCGTTTTTAAAAAGGTCAGGTAGAATACGATCAAGGTGAGCGCATTCATTGCGTGAGCACAAGCCCATTCTGGCATCCTCTTCCCAATGGCGATCTCACTATGAAAAAACGGGGCTCGACGACGAGATCACTGCTCCGTCAAACCAATCAGGCAGCCATCACATCCACCCCGGCTTCAGATTATTTCCTCTTTCTTTCCCCCGAATATCTGGTGCGAGAGGCCTCTAAGCTCGGCCCTGGTCAGTTGTTCATCGGTGGCAGCAAATGACGGTATCGCCACTTGGCCAGCTTTGACATCTTGATGTCGATCGGCAGTCGCTTGTCCCAGATGGAGGGAGCTTGCAAAATAATTATACCTGTCCCAGCCACACAGGATATTGTGAAGATCCACAGAAAGAGACGATCCAGGACCATGGCGACAAATTTCCAATCCTCTTCAATCTGAAACGAAATAGACACGTTTTATATGATCAATTGGTCCGAGACGGAATTCAATCGACTGGTTCATGGGTGACTGAGGAATGCGAGCATAAACTGTGATTCTCGTGATCTATGAAACTTTATGATGGCATGTCCCACTTATAACGCACCATAAACTTGGACAGAGTTTCGTGAGGGCCATAGCTTATTTATGGAACAAAGGCAGTCAAGATGACGTGCAAGTACCTCGTCGTTCAAATTTTATGGACCTAGCGTTGCTTCATGGATGACCTTTCCACCTTTTTTTCGCCAGTAGTTTGGCCTCCTAATCTCAGATAAAGTAGGCAGGGGTTTTCAAGCATATTTGATCAACTCAATGAGCACTCACTTAATTTTCAAGGGAATGATTCACTCCAAACCAAGCAATTGTCGCCTGTGACTCACATATTCTCCATGTGCCTTGGGACGATGAGGTGCCATGTAACGCCAGGCCTTTACTTTTTATTACGTTAACTATGGCGTCAAAAACTCTTCAGCTGGTGATTAATGAACGAAGAATTAAAAGATGAAGCCTAAAAAATAAGTTGCACCTGAATCAATCGTCTTGTACAATGTCATTGACTGAAGCTATGATTGAGTTGAAACCTTGGAGCCAGTGACGTGCCTTCACATATGGTACACAAGGATTTGGTACGCCCAGTGAGCTTGTGGTCAGTGAATACCAACATTGTTTATATTTTAGCAAGTGGGCCAGCAACATAAATTCAGGATAGTTCAATTTTATCAGTTGACCAATTTCGAAAGTGAGAGTGCCACTCTACAGAAAAGCATCCAGCCAAAACCAGTCATCAGTATTTACCTTTGTGCCCATCAACATACGTTGATAAAATCTGTGCCTTTTTCATCCCTCCTGCTGTAAATTTTTGATGCATTGGGATTAGTGATCGAAGTTGATGTAAGAATCAAACTCAACTCGACAACTTAGACGGGGATAGAAGATGATGGTGATAAAAACAGCCTGATAATCAAAAACTCGCATAAATTAAAAAATCGAAAACTGATCGAATCAATAAATACAGCCATCAGTAAGCTTATTTTAGTGACTAGTGAGTGAATACATAGACACTATTTCACCTCAGAACCTTAAGGCTGAAATAAGGGAAATTCCATACAATACTTACTGGAATACAGTACTTGGATTCTACTAAAATATTGCACGCAGGAATGTAGCTCTAAGGAACGATAATATTGTTAATCCTCTTCTTTGAGGATTCTAATTTTAGTCTTTTGTAGTTTTATTTGACACTTCAAGGATGCAAGGCAATTATCTCGACTTTAATGCTGTGGTTTCTTCTCATCGTGATGCGTTGATATATACAGTACAGCACTGTATTAGAATTTAACAGTTTAGATACTCTAGAAAACCTTGCATACAGAATGTTGGCTTATGAATGTGCACATGGATAGATGCAGAAAAACAATTCGTAAGTTTTTGGAAGATGGGATTAATCAATATTTGAATTCTTAATACTGTAGTATTTTACATTACAGTATAACTCACTATTACAGAAAACATCAATATTTTTCAATATAAGTTCGCCAATTTATGCATTCTTTCATTTGGAAAATCAGATAAATTAACACCCTAGATATTATTATTGCACGGAATTTAATACTCTGCATGAGGAAATATTCTTCAAGCTATAAATTCCTTGTACCCTCTTCAACCTGCATGGTAGGTGGACGAAATTATTCCCAAGTTCAATAGTATCGTAGAATGTATAGTAATAAAATAAAGGGCAAGTAACAATGTAAGTTATCTGAGTCTCAAAACTCATATGCCATCCGTTGCATACAGTAACTACCCCTTATTCTACCGTAGCAAACGGGCAGCACATCATTATGTGCTCTGATCACGAAATATGTCTAAATGCCACGAATTTACCCGTTCATGCTGCGGTGCTTGAAACGATGATTAGTTGAATTAGATCAGCGAACAATTCAAATAATGTAACGCAACATGTTTCATCGCGTCGAGAACAAGTGAAGCTGCAGCTATAAAGGATTCCGAGAGTAGCTTTCGCTCCATCGTCCGACGGAATATTTTGCACCCAAGGGAAAATACTCCTGTGCGTCATGTTTGCCGCTTTGTTTTACTTGCTTCGAATGTGGGCCGCCGGGAAGCGAAGGAAGGGTTATATTTTGCTCATCGCGGGGAATTTCACGAACAGACTCCGGAGCGTAATGAAATTTGTGGAACTCCAGTCCGCAAAAAGCAGCGGACTATGGTTCTTCTCTTCGGATGTAACTGAACGAAGAGCTGAGAAGATATTTCGCATGGTATCCACGAAGCCGTGAGCCGAACGCTTTGAAATATCAGGATCCGGTGAAAGATTTCAAATTTCGGTCTCTGTTCCTATACTTGAGTACCTTTTTTTCCTCCTTGCGAGGTTAAGATTAGTGGCAGTACTGTATATAAGCTCCTATATAGCTTGAGTTTGCCTACGAAATAAGAAGGGTCAAGTTAGATCCGACGACAGCTGAACGTCAGGCACCCGAGTGTCACAAGTTTATTTCATCATCAGTTTTCAGCTCTGTTTTGAGGGGAAATAATCATTTTACTGAGTTAAAAAATAATCAGGGATAATAAAAGAACTGAAAATGAAGAGATTATTGAAGAATCATCGAGTTTTTGGGCAAAATAAGATGTGCAGGTTACGTTTTCTGCGATGGTCACGTGTTCGATGCTTAACAAGTGAGTACAGTACTGATTGGAGATTTGACTTTTCTTATAATTCCTGCAGCTGCGGGGAGTTTGAATCATCCACTAAAATTTTTAAGACTCAATTTGGCCAAGGGTACTGCCACAAAATGCTCTTCGTGATTTCGTTCGCGTAGCAATTATGGATACAAAGGGGTTTTCTGTAAGAGCAGGCGGCCCAGAATTACAACGGACCTTCTGAATTTCGTTTGCTTTGAAGTCGACTACCTTGCGATGCCCCTCGGATGCACCGAAGCATGGTTTGATAACCCACTCCGGCAAGAGCTTCACCCGGCCGGGAAATTTATTTTCTGGTCTTCGCATCAACCAGCGTACCGATTCCGAGAAGCTGGAGGAAAACAACACTGCATCGAGCGCCATCATTGCTTCGTTAAGCAGAAATTCGGCGTGAGTGAAAAACGACGCGAGATGCGGAAGCGGAAATGTTCCATCGCATGCTTGCTGAAAATCTGAGGAAGAACAGTTTCGATTCCCCTCTTTTTGACCCCGACCACCCATCCGCGGAATCCAAGTACTGTACAGCAGTGTACTTCACTGCGATCTCGGATCCGATTTTGTGTCAAGAGTCAGCCCCAGTCCGCGGTTGACCCTGGTCCCATATACGCAAACTGGAAGGGATTTATGAGCGTAGTTTCCTCAAAGCTGAAGGATTTCAAGCTTGAAATGCGCAAGGGATGGGACACCCGGTAGATTCTAAGGCTCAGAGTGCATTGAAATCATCCGCTCTCATGGCGTTGAATCTGCTTTCCATGATGGACATGAGTTCCTCCATACTTGCTCTGGACATTTCCATCCTAAAGTGAAGTACCCAGTTGATTCATGGATCTGATTCCGGGTACAAAACCCGTTGCTTCGCTGTTGGCCCGAGCCCAATAAGCTTTCTGAATTCATGGCACCCGCTCAAACGGCGTCAGCTGCGGGAAAGATCGAGATGCTTGAAAAATAACCTCCTGAAGCAACTCAGATATCCTGATGGTTTCGTCATTCTCACTGGTCGTGAAGTCAAAAGCGATTAAAGCAGCAAACATGAAAAAAGTCGACGAAAAAGTCGCTCTTATCGATGTTCTTTCTGTCGGATTTTCAAGGGTAACGAAGTAAAATTCGGATACCACACAACAGCTCTCAACTGCTAGACGCCTAAAGTTCTCAAGGGATGCGTGACTCCTCCATTGAAATTTATGAAAAATAAACAGGATGACTTTAGAGAATTGGATAGAAAAGTTGATTAATGTTTCCCTCATGAACGAAAAATAAACGAATAAGCACAAAGCACTGTATATGGGGCTGCAGAAAATAGGCAAGGACTATATCAAGCCCTTATTCCAGGGTTAAAAAGAAAAAAAACTTCGCACTACAAAAGAATCCATGGCGAATAATGGAAAAGTGGGAACCTCTGTTACCCTGCGATGCATCTGCAATTTTCGAGCGGCATTACGCCTTCGCGACGCAAACACATTTTCTCGCCCGAAGTAGGAAGCAGAGGATGATTAATTATTTTCAAATTAACACTGGAGACCACCTATGCAGCTTGGAGCTTTTGTCCCTCAGCCTGACAATGATCCTTTTCTCATACGCCCGCAGCTGCTTCAAGAAGTTCTCAGATATACAGAATTTTTTTTTTACATGCAGAGCTAAAAAAAAAAAAAAAACCGACTATAAGCTTCTGGAATAAAACTTCAGAAAAGAAAGAACTTCTTATAGCGGGTGGCTGGAATACCGTCGCCAGGCCTAACCTCATCACACTGGAATAATGTCATCAAGATTTAATCTTGTCAGGCAATATCATCATCAGGAATAACATTGCATTCAGGGATTTTATTTTTCTGCTAAGCTGGAATAAAATCATCAAAATATGATTTTTCCTGGAATTGAAACAACCTCATTGGGCAAAACTGGACTTTTCTCATAATGTGAATATGGAAATAATCTCATCCTATGCAGGCTGGCCCTTCCTTCTACAAGCAGGGATTTGTAACAAGGTTACAAAAAGTTCATGTGACATGAGTTGAGGCGCAGTTCTCCACTCACGTCACAGGGTGTTAAAAAGTTGTCAGGAGAACTAAAAAAATAAACTTTGCATGTTTTCTTTAACCATGACGTTTTTACAAGATCTAGCAGGATTTGGGCACACGTCTCCTAATCCTGCTTTTTTTTACCATGAGGCAACGATTTAAAAAAGATTGTCAGTAGAAGATGATAATTATCCTCCAATATCAACTGATGATAAATCAGAAATATCTGCTTTATTTATCCTACAATTCTTGTCCCAGGAGTCTACTACATAAATTAGGTATTGTAAGGAAGCGGGGAAGAACTTCATTGAGGAGATTGAAAAGATAATTCCATTTTTCTCTTGACAAAAATACAGTATTCCAGTTCAGACCAACAAGGTTGTTCCAGTTCTTAAGAAATGACATTTTTCCATTTCCAATGTACAAGATTATCCATTTTTTTTAAACAATAATTTTTTGACAACTTTCAGGATTTTGTAGCAGGACGATGTTGGGCCAGTTAAGAACAATTTTTTCATGAGTTAATTCCAGCAGAGGCTTTACAACAATAATCCAGTTTTGGTATTACGACATTATTTCACCACCCCTTCTTAGCCACATCACCTCAGCAACCATGGTTATGGACCTAAGAAGACAAAATGCCATCCTTTGTTAAGTGATGAACCCGAACATGCCATTATTTGCAC